AATCGCACTCCCTTGCCGAGTGGACCGCCTCGGGGCAGTTCCTCGAGAATCAACCCAAGGCAACTTAGCACCACATCCGAGTACACACCCGCCCGTGCGGACGAGTTGGCCTGCGTCGAGAAACTGCCGGAGCACGATGAGTGAGTTCTCCCGCCCACCCATCGCGCTCATCTTGGCTTCTTTCACAGACCAGGAGCTCCTGCCGGGCACGAAAGCCTTCGGGCTTTCCGCCCATATATTACATCCAGCACACTGCCATTCCATACACCTATCCCTCTTACCCTAGTCTACCATCGTTAATCTAATGCTGTCACTCGCCAGACCTGCCTCAGCGCCATTCATAGACTACAGTAACCGCCTGTAAGTTCCATCGCAATGGACAAAAAGCGGGCAAGAGCTATTGTAACAATTGCTTACCTTCAGATGCTCAGGCTCAAGGGTAATCATCTGCCAACCCATGAAAATTAGCATTATGCACCGTTCTTGCTCGTGAGGCAGATTCAATCTACGTACCCTATTCTGGAACAAAATCCTCAAATTGAACACATATCCTCCACAATACTCGGCGTTCTCTTCGATGCCATCCGCTGAACCAGTTACCAAACCATCCCGTTGCGTCAGCGCTTGCTCTGGTTACTCAGACGAGACAACACGCACTGAGATATCCCGCCTCAACCGCCCTTAGCTCCTTCACAATCGACCACACATTTCCCGGACTGTAGTCCAAGACGCGCGGAGGCAACCGAGCACCGAGCACCCGTGCCGCAAAATAATTCTTTACGTCGTCATAAGACAATAGGAGCGCGAATAAGATTGGGCCGCTGAGGAGGACCGCAACGACCGTTTGGAAAGTCGTAGATTCGTACGCAGGTACGAAACGATGGGCGAGCTGGGTGAGTGCGTAGGCGGTGATTGGTCCTGCGAGGAGCTGCGGGCCACGTTGGGCCAGGTAGAGTGGCCTCGGTGGGAGGGGCATGGTCGCAGGTGAGTCTGGTGAGAGGGAATAGAGACCGTGCACGGTATTTGGACGCGTTAAAAGGGTTGTAACCGACTATTACTTGTGTTCGACGGTCTTGGTATGACAGTTGTACAGCCTTGAATTGATTTTAGAATAGCGCCCAAGATTGGCGTTACCTGGTCCAGCTGTAAGAAGACGTGGACATTGTTGGAATCTAAACTTGTTCAATAAGTTGTTGGTGGAAGGCTGAGTGGAAGAAGGTTGTGAGAAAGCGAGCACGGAAAAATAATTCTCTCAGGTTTTGCAGGATAGGGATTTGGCCCCAAAAGCGCCAGCCAAACTGGCCTGCCTCAAGCTGCTGGCATCAATTGTATATGAATGTGGAGGTCCAGAGACCTTGGTTTGATATAAGAAAGAGAGAGTAATCTACAGACCCAGAGCAAAGCGACCAGCTTAATAAGCCCAATGCTCACTTGGCCTGATACCAGCCTCCTTCAACAGGTTCACCGCCGTCTTTGCGCTCTGCAGCAGCTGGCCCTCAGGCTGGACGACCGTCTCACCCTCCTTAATCGCCTCCTCGATGCTCAGCCCTGCTGACTTCAGGACTTTGCGTACATTCTCGTCGTTCCTCACAGCGGCTCCCTCGCTTGCCTCCTCCGCCCACCACTTCGTGGCGCGTGCATGGAATCTAGGTTGGCTTTGGAGATCGTGAGACTGGGTCTCCTGAGGCTGGGCATCAGGCGACTGCGACCGCATGATAGCTGCGTGCGAGTACTTCAGCAAGTGCAGCGTCGGCACGAGGTGGCTGAGCGTCTTGAGTGTCATGCCCGTGACATCGTTGAGCGTCGCTTCTTTGGGGATGACGGACTGTTGCCCTAGGTGGGCTGGGGTTGGAGGCATGGCTGTTTGTTCGGGTTGAGGGATGAAGGCACCGAGGATCGGGATGCGGTGAAGCCCGAGATAGGGGAGAATGATAATGAGGAGGGGTAGGAGGAGGAAGAGGGCGTGGCGGAGTTGAACGAATATTTCGTGCCACTGAAGTGAAGGTTAGCTGAAGAAAGGTGGGGATAAGGAATCTGGAATACCATTGTCACTGGTGTCTTGTTTCCGAAAGGCGGGATAACCACTTGTACGGTCAGAGTCCAGTATGCCTCGGCCAGAAGGGATACAAGGAGTGCGCCGAGGCCTAAAGGTCGAAGGTATGACGTCGAGGAATTAGGGAGAGTCAAAATCTAACCAAAAAGTCAGTTTCGTACTGGCAGAAACAAGAGCCAAACCTACGCCAATGAACGCGATTTCACGGATATATTCCAGTAGGGGACCAGGAAAAGCATATAGAGCAAAGTCATTGTATGTGTGGCAATATGTGCATGTTGTAAGGGCGTCGTGTCCGAACCTGTGTTATACAATTCAGTGACGAGCAGTGGTACAAGCATAGAACAACTCACAAGATATAGAGTGATCTCAAATCCATTAACCCAAGCCTCTTCAGAAGAATATCCAGATGTTGTGGCACATTTGCCTCTCCTCCGAGAGTTTCAACCAACTTTGCCCGCAGGAAATCTGGTGGAATGTTCACCGGCACGTCGAGAGCTTTGAATATGCTTTGCGGTGGCGACACGAGGAGCGTGTAGAGCGCATATAACGTGTGCAGAAGAACCGTAGTCGAGAGCAGCAGCTCTCTCGTCGATTTGGGAGACTTCTGCTCAGAAAAGGGGGAGAACGTGCGGTAGAGCCACGGGGTGGCAATAACAAGGCCGAGGGCGATATACGCGTCGAGTGAGAGTCGGGGGAGTTCCATGAGAGTCATGACGGGCTCGTCGGCAATTTTATCGACCTGTCCAACGTGTCTTGTCTACTTTTGTCCAGATTAGAACATCGTGGATAGGTGACAGGAGTTGTTCAAGTCGGATCACGGACTGAAATATATGAACGTCTGCAGTTGTGTAACCTTGTGTAACTTGTGTTGAGTTCTGAGATCTGAGCAACAGTGAGCACGTCGGGATGAAGAATACATATGTATGTACACAACGATACCGATGATGAATTGCGATCCTGAGCAGCGTGATTGCGGTTCTAGAGTGAGTGAGGAACGAACGAAGAGATAGAACTAGGTCTTCGAGCGAGTGGCGGGTGGCACGTGACGCTCTCTGCTTCGTGCCACCACCATCTCGCCTCGAAGGCTCGCCTCAGCCTCAACGCCGTACCTCAACGGCCGCGTTGAGCGCTTCAAAATCTCACCGAACGATGTGAATACAGTCCACCAAGAGCATGGTACGTGGTTGTTTCATATATAAAGCGATGAATTGACGCACTAATAATGTCAACAATCTTTTTCTTGCACATACGAGCCGTTATCGCCGATGCTACCCACTTCGCATTATGAAGCATGACCCTGTCGCAATCAACATAGTACACAACGTGGATTGGCACTAGCTCCGTGATGCCCAACAGTAAGATTGCTGCTAGGTTCTTCTGGACTTCATATCCTAGAATGAAGGCCGTCTATGTGTCAAACCATGACGGCAGTTGGCTGTATAGATGGCGCTGTATTTTCGCGACTTCGCCCCCCCCCACAGCATCATTATGGCTTTGTACCGTACCGAACCATAAGCTGGAAAATATGGCATGGCAGACGGCGCCAAGCACAAACTAAGTGCCCACTGGTGCAGAACAGTCATAACCCTACACTCATATTCTTGGAGTCTGAAACTCCTCGCACCGACCTGTAAGCGGATAAGCACGTGGTAGTCTATGGTCACGGTCCTTGTTCCACTCTGCATAGCATGCTGGAACTATTATCTTAAGCTCCAGCAATGGCGTTTGGAACCTGGCTCTAGGGTTATTGACAAACTGCTCAATAGGAGTACCTACTCTCTTCTGAAAATGGACGCCTGGTAAGATAAATTCATTCAACAAAATTCTGTCTTCGGAATTCAACGTTCAAGTTCCAACGGAGCTAGTGGCAAGAGCGAGAACGACTCGGAGAACGGAATTGCTGATAAATGCTGACAGCGACCTTCAGTGGGCTTAGTGAATGGCTATTGAGATCATTGATTCTGTTGAAGCTGTTGCACTGAGTGTTTAATTCATGAATATGTTCTAGCTGCCAAGAAAGTGCACAAGTTCAGAGTGCATGGGCGCCTCCCGGCCTCCTATGCACTGCCGCAGCACAAGGTACTAGACCATCAACGGACCTGAGTCGAGCAGTTGCTAGCGTGTCTCAAATCCTTGCTATGAGGTGTCAGACTTCCTGCCTCAATGAAGCACTTGAAAAGAGATATGGCGCTAAGGCGAGGACATGACGACAACCATGCGGCGCAAGAATGATGGCTCTCAAGATGATGCTACACTACCTTATTCAAGTTGTCATTGGTCCCTTAACCACATGTCTGAGGTGCCGCCCCACGAGCAGTTATTCAAACTCCCTACTAGTAGCACCCCAAGCTACGTTCTAAAGCTGCCGAGCTTGTCTGGTCACCTTTCACACCCATGTCTGGTGTGCATCACAACCATGTCTGGTGTGCATCACAACCATGTAAGGCTGTATTAATTTCGACGCTAAGCTTCCCCCATAATAATCTATGCAACAGTTATTCATTTGATGGCTGAACTACCTGTATTCTGCACGAGTATTTCGGACGCAGCTAGGTGTTCTCAGCCAAGCTGCTTCGCTACTTATAAATAACTCTACTTCGAAGGAATTTATCATGCCTCTAATGCTGTTTAAATTTAGGCCAGTTACACAGCTATCCGACTACACAACTTATGGCTCATGGGTAATTTATTTCTCGCCCTGTGTCCTTCCTTTCGAGAAAATAAGGAAAACAACTGACCTTTGCAAATAGCAGAAGCTATAAATCGCTGATGCTGATACAAGTTGCAGCAGTATTTTCACCCTGCTTTGTCAGGGTTCCCGGGAGACCAAACTTGGGAGTTCATTAAGGAGGCGCAAGCTCTCGACGTCGTAGGAGAACCATGACTGAAGCTCAGTGCTTAGCTATTACTGAACGTCATTGACGAATCATCGGCCAACAATCATGATCACTCCGTGTTTGCAGTAGTCCCTCCAGCAGCTGACTCCTTGGCTCTTTCTTGCTAAGAAAGTACATACTTATTAGAAAACTGGGGTAAAGAGGACCAAACTAGCTATTTATCCTCGCTTTGGGTCTGGGAAGCCTGGCTTCATGCGGAGGAGAAATCATGGGTCCAAGCATACTACAGTAGAAGTTCTCATAATGCATAGCGCCGGTATCGGACCAAAATCTATGCATTAGTAGAATTATGCAAGACGAACAAGGTGTGATTTTTGTGATAAATATGACATCACTTCGGTTGAACCCAGCCGCTCAGCAGCGCTCAGCATCGTTTGAACAGCGTTTGCAGACTTTGTGAGAATAAGGCGCCTTCAGGGCGTGTTTTGAAGTGTGTGACCATCACCTTTTGTGAAAGTTTGGGTGTTTGAATGTTTATCAATGTAGGCAGTCAACCAGTCGTAGTTTGTGAGATTGCACTTGCCCTCAGGTATGTTTTTATAGATTCTTGCCAACTTTTTGCTGAGCCACATGCAGCTTGTACGGTGCACCTTCCGTTTATGTTTGGTGAGCTCATTCTGGGGTTTACTGGCAGGTATGGGAAGACAAGTGTGGGGAGAAGTGACGGTGCGACAGCTGCCATCATGATTCACACCTATTTTTCGCTTATTTCAGGAATGTTCTAGCAAAAAATCTTGTAGATACCAGGAAAGATTAGATAAAGCGCCTTATGATAATGCATAATCGACCCAAAAGGGCTATGCATTATGCACTATGCAATTTTCCCGCTTCCCGAGTTGGTTTTGACCCAAAAGCGATGCATTATGACAATTATGCAACATGAGACCATGCATTATGAGAACTTCTACTGTAGTAGAATGGAAGGGTCCTTACAGACCTATGGTTCTGACCCAGTTTCTGTCCTAAATTTACTTCTACAGCTGAGTAATGGAGAGAAGCTATGTTTACACACTTCCTGTCTGCTATTTATGGTAGGGTCTCTGTGTAAGCTAGCACAGACGATGTGAGTCTTGGCCACAGCTAACGGCAAAGAAAGCCACTACAGGCGCTAATGTCTCCATGTCGAAATCGTGCATGTTTCTAGGCAGCTCATGTGCAGACTCACATGTTCCGTTGGGAGGCTATAACATTCCATCCTCACCTGATTCTCAGCAACGGATAGGAGGATCACTCCATTCAATTGGGCGTAGCCTGAGGTACTCACGAACAGAAGTCCAAAGGACACAGAGTGATGAATTGTCCGGAACCCACACTCACTCCTTCTTATGATGGGGACCGACCGAGACTCATTCGGCGCGTCATGACCACGCATTCCTACTTCGGCTGGGTGTCTCCGCTCGTCTCAGAAAAGGTCCCCACGATGGGCTGGAGGGCACTCCCGTGCCTCGCCCACAATCTAGCTAATAGCTATGCAGGCGGTATGACTAATCTAACAACTACATAAGAAATGTGCTACCCAAACGAACCTCAAAGAGTCATGACCGCCTGCAAGTAAATTGACATTTGTCAGCGATTCCCAGCTACAAGACGACAAGATAAAAAGTGGTCCAATCCAGGATCGAACTGGAGACCTTCTGTGTACCTTACACAATGTAAGACAGAAATCATAACCACTA